TGAGGGTTCCACATTTATTATAGTCCGAAGTAAAAATAAATAAGATGTGAAGAAGAGATCTCTTTTAACTGTTTACCTGATATCGAAGGATTGTTTCTCCCTTTAGTGATTTAATCGTCAAGGGAACCCTTCTTGAAATGGATTTGAGTTAAATAAGTATGTATATACTTGTTTCTTCTTATATTTTTTCGATGTGGGACAACCTTGTGGCTCATACTACCGAGCTCAGAGTCAGTGAGTATGACCTCTACAAGAAATTTGTCCCAGGCAATTTAAAGCCTGAGACAACTGACTCCTCGGCGCTAAGCCTGAGGGGAAGTTTTGATGAACTGGACACTTAGGGTCCGTAGCAAATGACTCCCCGGCGCTAAGCCTGAGGGGAAATTTTGCTGAACCGGACACTTAGGGTTCGTAGCGAATGAATTACTCCCCGGCGCTGAGCCTGAGGGGAAATTTTGCTGAACCAGACACTTAGGGTCCGTAGCGAATGAATTACTCCCCGGCGCTGAGCCTGAGGGAAATTTTTGCTGAACCAGACACTTAGGGTCCGAAGTAAAAGGATTACTCCCTAGTGCTGAGCCTGAGGGAAAATTTTGCTGAACCGGATACTTCGGGTCCGTAGCGAATGAATTACTCCCCAGCGCTAAGCCTGAGAGGAAATTTTGCTGAACTGGACACTTAGGGTCCGAAGCAAATGGATTACTCCTCGGCGCTGAGCCTGAGGGGAGGTGTGCTGAGCCGGACACTTAGGGTCCGAAGCGAATAACTCCTCGGTGCTGAGCCTAAGGAGAAGTTAACTGCATAGTTGAAATTTTGTTTTTTTGGAATAACCTGCCAGGAGGCCCAAGACTCAAAAATGATAGGAGGCCAAGAAAGCGAGTAATAGTGGCTAGGAAGTTTCCAATTCATTTTTTGGAGACTTTCTTCCACTGAGACTCTCTTCTTGGCAGCTAGACGTAGTGGATTATGTATATATCAACTGCATCCCTTTTCTACTTTTATTCAATGTGGGACATAGATTAGATTTCGTCAAATATAGGTCAATAACTCCATCTTTACAAAAAGGTCAGTGTAAGGAATGCCTCTAGTATTAGGCTTGGCCGCTTTCAATACCAGTGGGCCTTCCTTACACTGCACTTAACTATTTTAATATTCCCATATATAACAGAATGCAAAACGTACTTTTTTATCGATGTGGGATAAAAAGCTTTAAATAAAAAGATTCATTGTGAAGAATACCTCTTGATATCTTGGTTTTGGCATTGCTTCTTAGCATAAAAATTGCATAATGTGTACGCATAAAAATGCATGAAAATCGCATAATTGTAAAGTAGGGTACTAGTACGGCCTCCATTTTTATGGAAAGAAAGAAATGAAGCATAATGGCTTCCCACATCAAATATGATAGAAGTAACATAAAGAAATAAATTGGCTGACTATGGGCATAAGCAGCCTTATTTGTGACGAAATTCTTGTAAAATTGATAAACTTATCTAATGGTAGTACCTTTTAAGGTGTATTGCATTCCAAGGACGCACACTCGGATGCCCGTCAGCTTTAGCTAAACGGTTGCTCCCTTCCCCACTACTTCGGTAACCCTATAGGGTCCGATCCAATTAGGTTCCAGTTTCTTTACATGAGCTGTCTCTTTCTTCAGAACCCAATCACCTACCACAAAGCTCCTGAGCCTGACGCGTTTGTTATAGCTGCTACGCAATTGTTGCTGATATGAAGCAAGCCTAATTGCTGTAGCATCCTTATTCTCATCCAGGAGATCAAGGCTGTGTTCAAGCTGCTGCCCATTATGTCCTTCAAGTAGCAAGAATGTCCGAAGGGTTGGAACTGCCGCCTCAGTTGGGATCACAGCTATAGAAACATAGGCAATGACAAATGGAATTTCCCCCGTGGGCCGCCGTGGAGTGGTTCGGTACGCCCAAAGCACCTGAAGGAGATTCTCATACCATTTTGTTTTGAGCTTCTCCAACTTCTTCTTTAAATAACTGAAAATGGTTCGTTTAGTTATTTCAGCCTGTCCATTCCCTTGTGGATGACTGATCGCAGCCAACTTTTGTATAATTCCATGTTTGGCGAAGAATTTTCTTGTACTCATATTGTCGAGGTTCTTACCATTGTCCATTATAATGACTTTTAGTACCCTAAACCTGCAAATGATGTTGTTCCAAAGGAAACTTTTTACCTGCTTATGGGTCACACTTGAATAAGCCTCGGCTTCCACCCATTTTGTGAAATAGTCTGTAGCTAGCAACACGTATTCCTTTTGTTCCACGGTCCTGGGTAAAGGGCCCACCATATCAAAACCCCACTGTACGAATGGCCATGGATTTGCCATTACGTGCAAATCTTCGGCAGGTTGATGTTTCATTGGACCGTGGCGCTGACATTTGTCACATCTCCGGACGTACTCTTTAGCATTCTGAGCCAAATATGGCCAGAAGTAGCCTTAAGCTAGAACCTTATGGGAGAGGGATCTGCCCCAGAGTGGTTGCTGCAATCTCCATCATGAATCTGCTTCAATACCACAAGAGCCTCAGTGGGACTTAAACATTTCCGGTAAGGACCTGAAAATGACTTCCGGTACAACTGGTTGTTGATGATGGCATATTTAGCTGCAGTGAGTCTGAGCTTCCGCGCCTTAGTTTTCTGGTTTGGAAGAGTCCCATGCTTGAGGTAGGCTTCCAATGGATCAATCTAGCATGGCACTCGCGGAATGGCGGGAATCACCATTACCTCTTACTGAAGGTTGATGCTAGGTTCGTCCAGGATGTCAATTGGCATAATCCGAGTCAGATCTTCATTTGAGGATGATGTTGCTGTGGCCAATTGATCTGCCTCAGCATTCTCAACACGAGGTACATGGTGGAATTCGACTTGATCGAATCCTCGTGTAACATTCTCCACAGTTTCTTTGTAGGCTTTCATCCTTTCCTCTTTGGGGTGATACTGACCTGTCATTTGATTTATAACAAGTTGTGAGTCACAAAAAACTTTTAAACACTGTACCTAAAGGCTGCTGGCTAATCGAAGACCAGCAAGTAACGCCTCATATTCGGCCTTATTGTTAGTAGCAGGGAAATTCAGACAAATTGACTGCTGTAATTTGGTGCCTTCGTGTGCTAATACAACAACCCCAACTTCTGCACTTGTTTGATTCAAAGAACCATCAACCCGAAGCTCCCATTATGGTTTAGGGAGTTCTGGTTCTTCGGGAGTGTCCTCGTATTCTAGGAGAAAATCTGCTAAGGCCTGTCCCTTGTGTGACACCTTCAGCTCATAAGTTATGTTGAAGGAACTGAGCTCGATGGCCCATTTAGAAATTCTTCCAGATAAATCCGGCTTAGAAAGTTTACCCCGTATAGGGTAGTTGGTGAGTACCACAATGCTATGAGATTCAAAATAATGCCGAAGCTTCCTCTTCGCATAAACCAAGGCTAGGATGCTTTTCTCTACTTTGCTATATCGTGTCTCTGCATCTGTCATTGTCTTACTTGTGTAGGAGACTGGGTATTGATTCTTTCCTTCCCCTCTAATTAGCACTGCACTTGTCGCTATGCTAGAAATTGCTAAATACATAATAAGAACTTCTCTAGATTTTGGAGCGGATAGAATTGGAGGTTTGGCCATATATCGTTTCAACTAGTTGAGGGCCACCTACTGCTGAGGTCCCCATATATCCTTATTCTTAGATCTTATAGCATCGAAGAATGGTTTACACTTATCTGATAATCGAGATATAAGCCGGCTGAGAGCTGCGATTCGACCGGTAAGAACTTATACCTCCCTATGAGTTTTTGGTTCATGATTCTGCATGAGGGCCTTAGCCTGAGCTAGGCTTACCTCTATCCCTCTCTTATTCACTATATGGCCGAGGAACTGACCTGATGATACCGCAAAGGAGCACTTGGAAGGATTCAGCTTCATGTTGTACTTCTTCAGAGTGTTGAAAACTTCCTGGAGGTGCTTCGGATGGTCTTCCTTCTTCACACTTTTGACCACCATGTCATCTATGTATGCTTCAACCGTCTTCCCTAACAAGTTATTGAAGATTTTGTTGACAAGGCATTGATAAGTGGCCCCGGTATTCTTCAGCCCGAAGGGCATGACCCTGTAACAATAAGTGTCATTTTCTGTAATGAAAGTAGTTTTTTCTTCATCTTCTGGATTTATAGGAATCTGATTATATCCTGAGTACCCATCAAGGAATGTAAGCCTATCGTAGCCCGTACTGGCATCAACCATCTAATCTATTTTTGGCAGAGGGACACTATATTTAGGGCAAGCTTTGTTAAGGTTGGTATAGTCTATGCAAACCCTCCACTTCCCATTCTTCTTTTGGACGACCACCACATTTGACAGCCATTGTGGATATTACACCTCTCGGATGAAACCTGCTTGCAATAACTTATTCACTTCTTCAGCTATAATGCGATTGCGCTCAGAGGCAAACCTTCGGTGTTTCTGTTACATCAATTTGAACTCCAGATCCACCTTCAGGCTATGGCAGGAGACTAAAGGATCGATCCCTATCATGTCAGAATGATCCCATGCAAAAGCACCTGCATTGCTCCGAATGACATCGATTAATGCTTCATTTACTTCGGATGTGGAATAATAGCCTAGATAAGTGATCTTCTGGGGGTCGCCGAGGATAACTTTTATGGCTTCGAGGATCTCCTCAGTAGGCTTCGCAGCCTCTTCTTCCTCCTCTACCTTAAGATACTTGGGCAGAGGGCTCTGTAATTACTATTTGGGTACATCTCTGGGAGTCACACCTGGTTGAGGCTGTCTAGACACCTTCTTTGCTTCAGCCTGTGTCAACATATAGTATTCTTTTGCAGTGACTTGACTGCCCCATAGATTAATAACCTCTTTTCCATCCGAAGATAAGCATCGCATCACCTGATGAAACCTGGACGGAACTCCTTTCATTCAGTGTATCCAGCCTCTTCCCATGATGAGATTATAGGAAGGGTGGATCTGTGTTAAGACAAGTTCTCCTTCAGAGTTCTCTTCACCGTAGTTACGGATAAGTCTATTACCCCAAGGGGATCTACCCTTATGCCATCGAACCCCATTAATGGGTTGGAGGTAGGTCGAATTGATGATGACGGGATCTCTAACTGCTCAAAGACCGCCTTTGTGATAATGTTGGCGCTACTCCATAGGTCTATCAAAACCCTCTTGATCATGCAATTCGCCACTAAAAGACTGATGACCAATGGATCCTCGTGGGGGAGTTGAACTCTGGATAGGTCGCTATCGCCGAATCCAATACTGATGCTGCCCGAGGCGATAGCATTGACCGAGGATAACTTCCTGAGCTTACGGGCTGCCCTCAGTCTGGATCTGTATACCTCCTTAGACTCTTGATCATCTTCAGATCTGCCATGTATTGTATGAATGACCTTTACTTGAGTACCTTCTACCTTGCGAGGATAGACCTCACAGGGCTTCACATATTCCTTCGTCATGAGGTAATCTGCCAACTCACCTCTGGCTATCATATTTTCCACTTGTCGCCTAAGGGATCTAAAATCATTGGTTGAATGCCCATAATCTCGATGATAAGCGCAATGCTTGCTTTTGTCCCTCTGCTCCAAGGGTTGCTTCATTGGCTGCGGGGCTGTGAACCTCATTTTATTCTCCTAGAAGAGCCGAGCCAAGGTAGTTTGGAGAGGTGTAAACCCTTTGTGATACCCCTCGGATCCGAGACACGGGTTGATCAGGCCCAGGCCCAAACCCGAGGGAATATCAAACAATTAAAGTATTTTAAACCGAACACAGATGACAAAAAGAACAACAAAGATATAATAAAACTGAAAGAAATAACAATAATAAAATCCTCCATGTGTAACTGAAAAGTGAAACTCCAATCCTCCAAAACTTCAAAGTTACAACTTGGGAATCCACTGATGGACCCCTAACTAAAAGTTCAACTGAAACTGAAAACTGAAAATAAATAATACTAGAAACATCGAGGGAAGTCCTACGTAGTCAGATGGATGTGAGACTGTCCTCGACAAGCACGATCAAGTTCTAAGGCTGGAACCGTCCTGTACCTGAAAAGAATAATGAAGGAGTGGGTCAGACCCACGAGCAAGTTCTAATCTAACTGTAATCCATACAGTGACCCGATACGCAGATACACCGTAGACACCTCACAATATCTATCTAGTCCATACGTATAAATATATCCACAGTAAGGGACATTCACTAGTCTATAATAGGGGTCTCAACCTGAATAGAAGGCAACATGCGAATACGCACCCAAGGGTGGGCATGAATACCTAGACCTAATAGGGTACACCTCGACCTATTATAACCAGCTACGCATCCCCTGCATATACGCACCCTAACCAACGAGTCTGAGACTCAAGCTCAACTCGTGGTACCATAAACATATATATAAAGTCTGTCCAAATCCAGGGTAAGCAGTTCAACTATTTATTAAACTGACCTACAATAAACCAACTAGTTAATCACTCAACTTATTCAGTGGATATGACTTAACTACCATCCGTTAATCCAGGAAGTCATCCAACTTGGTTACAGCTGATCTGACTTAGCCACAATTAGGATTTGATATCTCTCAATCCATTCCATTAATCCATTAGGTTAGGTTTATGCGTTTTGAGCTAAACCGTCCCTAGTATGTCACCGTCCCATACCGGTACATACAATCCTCCATATCCATGTAAATTACAACATATATAATAGTTCAATAATTTACAGTCCAAAAACCACCATCCAATACTTGCAGAAGGAATTTTAACGATCTAGAAAATAAAATCCAGTAATAATCCATGTAATTGCATCGGAGAATAAACTATTCTAACAATTAACATCCAACACATGCATAGTTCAAATTTAATAAAAACAATGACCCTATCATGTATTTAAAATTAGTTCTATAATAATATTATAGTCCAATAAATCGCTAGATTAAACTAAGCGATCTAGTTCCCTCCATCCGGTAATAGAATACTAAGTCATATACTTATACTGTGTTGTAGCCTTTAGCACAGAGCCCCCACTATGCCACAAGTCCAATATATTACTTTAAAAGACTTCATCGTGCGTCAAAAATAAATTTAGAATCATTTTATAGCACCCTAAACCATCAGATTAAAATTAATCAACAAATCTCCTTCCAGCCGTTAACTGTACGCAAAGTTGTCAAATAGCGTACTGTTAATTCCATTTAAACTAAGGGGTAAATTTATACAATTCAAGACCTTAGTTACAAGTTAAAATTATTATTTAACACCCAACTAGAATTTTAAAACCGGTTAATAACCCAGATTGCCCAAACAGTGAACCTAGTACGTAGAAAACTTAAAAAAAATTAAAATAAACCAAAAAGAACAAGGGTGCCTGCTCCAGAATTTGGAGCAGGCTCTTTTCCAGCCTAGAGCCGGCTCTAGGACTTCCTAGAGCCGGCTCCACTTTGTTGTGGGAGCCGGCTCCCACTTCCATGGAGCCGGCTCTCACCTCCTGTGTGAGCCTTCGTCCCCGGTGCGTGTTTCAGCTCTTGTGCTCCTTCTCCGGCTTATTCCTAACCCTCTGTTAGTTTTTAAAACCAAACTTAGGACTCGTAATTTAGTCTCGAAGCATTCCCCAAGATTGTTTACAATAGTTTTGAAAGCAATTACAGAGTTTAATCAGGCCATTTAAACTAGCGTTGTTGAAGAACGGCACTGAAACTAAATTGCAAGATCAGTTTTATCCCAACCCCTCTGTTCTTTCTCCAATCTAAATTTGAAGTCTTAACTTACGTCTAGTATCCAGTCAGACCTTGGTTGATTTCAGTAAGATTCAAAATAAAAATTAGAACAGTGAGACGTTATGCCAAAACAGAGTTAAGAAAACATTCGCGCTATAATTGTTTTGTAACTAAATTTCACAGATAAAACGATCAAGTAAAACATATATAAAACATGCATGGTTCAGTTTAAGGCCAATTAATCTCCTAGAGATGTCCAGGTGCACAGAACACAAATCAAAGGGAAGGAGGAAGATAAGAACTTGCCCGTGATTTCAATTATGAAACCCCTGTGTCGTCTCTAAGTTTTCCTGCAATTCTGAACGCCGCCAAGCTTCCTATAACTCTGTCTCTAATCCTTACTCAACCTCCTTGGTCCTCTCTGTACAAATCCTCTTAAGCCTCACTCTGTTTTCCCACAACTGCTCTCTGTTTCTCTCTCTCTGTATCTCACGGTCTCTGTTGTTTTTACAGAAATTCCGGTTAATTATTCTCAAACCCTAAACCACCGTGACACACATACTTATAGGCGTAGTGATTAAACCCTAATCCATGTAACCTTAAGCCAAAGCCCATCTCGGCCCATAAACCGACCTAAGATAAATACCTACGTCGGCCACCTATGTAAATGCAACCCTAAATTTAACTGTAACTTAAAACAGAATTAAATGAAAAAACAATTACATAATTAAATCCACTTAACTAATTAATTTCAATTAAAAACCCAATTAAATAATTAAAACACTTAATTCAATTTAAAACACATGACACATAGGTAAACAACAATTAAACCAAATAATCACATAAACAATTTAAGTCAAAGTTCCAATAACCAATTAAATAAAAATGCGATAAAGATAATAAAATAAAGTTTTAAATATGTTTAAAAAAAAATGCCGAGACTATCCTTTTTAAAATTAGGGGTATTACACCCTTCCTCTACCCTTTGCCTCTTCTCAGGTGCCTAGGTGATTGGCGTTGAGGCACACTGGCTTTTCTGGATTTTTGAATTTGGAACTCTCTCCTGAGGCTTGTTCTCCACTGTCATGAGGGTGGCGTGCTGCGCTCGGTGGGCTACATTTTCCTCGAGCCGGATGTAGATCTGGGCCCTGGCATTGAGAGTCTGCATGTTAGGAGGAGAGTATTTGACCAAGGAAGTATGAAACTTTGTCCCCTGAATCATTGTAAGTTTAAATGTTTCTATAGCAGTCGCGGGATGACAGTCTGCTATTTCTGAGGCTTTCATGTTGAATCTAGATAAGAAATCCTACAGTGTTTTCCCTTTCTTTTGCCTTACGGTGAAAAGGCTAGCAATACTCTTCTTTTGCTTATTATTTCCACAGCATTATGCTAGGAACATGGTGCACAGAGTTACGTAATTCGGGATGGACTTATGTAGCCTATTCATGAACCACTCTTGTGCTACTCCTGTCAAATTGGTAGGAAAAACTCTACTCATCCAAGGATCATTATGGTCATCCAAAGCCATCTTTTAGGCTTAATGATCCAGGTGTCGAGAAGGATCTCCCGTATCGTCAAACTGAGTAAAAGAAGGCATTGTAAATTTCTTCGGCCTCTCAACCATATACACATCGTCAATGAAAGGAGTCTTCACCTAGGAGTTTTTATGCTCTCTGGCCATCTCAGCAGGTGTCTGAATCTTCAGGAGTCTTTTCTCATCAAAGGCATCCTGAACACCTGTACCATCTGAAATACCATTGGACCATATCGTGAGCTTATGGCTAGACTCAGCTTGCTCGTCCGGCGTGCGACGAAGGAAGTTGTCTAAAGCGACTGCCTCGGACCTTGCCCTCTACTGTTGCTGAACCTCATTTAGCTGAGCCTCATTGGGTCGTGCCCCATTAGGTTGAGGCCTGTTAACTGGAGGAATATTCTGCTAATTAGGGGGTGCTGCCGTATCACCTGGTTGTGGCGGTGGTGCCAACTGAGCCATCGCCGTTTGCAGAGTGTTATTTTGCTGTTGAAGCAAGGTGATCTGAGCCACGCTAGCTTCGTTTGCTTGACGAAGTATGTCAAACTGGTGTAGAAACTCGTCACGTATCTTCTACATCAATTCCGTCTATTGATCTGTTACAGATCCTCCGTTCGACATTCCAGATGGTAGTAGCAGGATTCCCTTGAAACAAGAGTGGGAATATATTTGCACACGTTCCCACTGACGGCGCCAAAGTGTAGGTGCAAAATTTCGCTCAGCTAATAATGATTGAGAAAAATAAAACAACTCACTCAAAATAATAAAAACAAATATGAACAGTGTATAAAGAAGCGTAGAATTGCTTGTATGTTTTTGGTCCCCTTTTATTGGAGGTCTTGGCCTCTATTTATACATAAAAAGTAGTAGAGTTATAGTAGGACTCGCATTGTTTGTCCTCCAATTCTTTCTATGTAAACATTCTTTACAATTAGAGTTTTTTCCATTGTTGAATTTTCCATCTACAGAACTTGCTTTGTGTAGAACTTTCTATTGCAGAGTTCTCTTTTTATGGTAAATCCTTCAGCAACCAGGATTCGTTCATTCTTGAATAACTGGGCTGGCTATAGCATTAACCGGATGGGCTTGAATAATGGGCCAGATGTTTGAAATGAGCAGATCGGGCTAACACTTTCTTGATTTGGCCCGGATAAAAGTAAGAGAACCAATAACAGTGATCCGGCTAGGAGTATATTCACTTTGGGCTTGAGTATGATGGGCCTTTTGGAAGACAGACCTGCCTCCATGATGACGTGGACTAATCTTATTGGAGGGGATTTTTTTTCCCTCCACACATATCCATAGTCTATAGAACCTTGTATGTATGTGTAAGTGTCACAACCTACAATTGTTAACTTATTTTAGGTGTATGAGATGGGGTT